CCATCACTATCATAATCTTATGAATTTTTTTTTTCTTGACTATCTCTGACACTTTTATATACATGTTTATAAACAACCATCTATTTTTTAACTTATATAAACTGTTTGCATATATTACTGTGTTTTTTTTTTTTCTGTTAATTGTAGTTTTCACCCAATATATTTCTGAAATTTTCTGACTTTTGAGAGGATTAATACGATAAACCACTGAAAATACTGAGCCTGTGGCAGACATCGTTGTGATTATGGTTGGGCCTGCCCTTCTTGGGGTGTCAGCTGTGCTTATCACCTTCCCACCCAGCCAAGGTTGGCTGCATTTCCCTCTAAATATCCTGCCTTCCTGTTGGAAATGTGCCAGATCGACTTGGCACATTTATGTCATGGCAAACTGAGGCTGGTGTCCATGGGAGATACCTACTCTGAAAAGACTTGCTAATGACGTCTACTCTTTTTGAGTCAGGGTCTTACTCTGTCACCTAGTCTGGAGTGTGGTGGTACATCATGGCTCACTACAACCTCAACCTCCTAGGATCAGGCAATCCTTCTACCTCAACCTCCCAAGTAACTGGGACTATATTGCCCGGGATGATCTGGAAGTCCTGGGCTCAAGCAATCCTCCCGTCTCAGCTTTCCAAAGTGCTGGCATTACAGGCATGAGCCATCACATCTAGCACCTGTGTCTACCCTAGAGAAACACTGAGAATTTAGTTGCTACTGAAGACTTTAGAGATGGAGACAGGGAGACCTTCAATGTCTGGGAGCTGTCTCCCTCCAAGTGGGATTGAAACCTTGAGCCCATCATTCCAGGACTGCCCCTCCTGCCATGTTGACTGAACAGAGTTCCCTGAAGGAGGTAGATTTGCATTAATGGAATGGAGACTGCACAACAAATCTACACTAATTCAAAATCACAACGTTCTCGCTAGAATAATAATATAGAACAAATAAAATGGAACAATTATATAGGCAACTAACATTTGTTGCATTCTTACTATGCACCTAACACTTTACTCAGTTCTTACCTGTCTCACAGTAAACACAGTACTACGGTATTTTAGATCAAAAGACACTAAGGCATGGAAAGGATTTGCTTCTAGAACTACACAGCTATTAGGCAGTGAGCCTGGGGTGCGGGCCTAACCCAGCTCTTCAAAACTCTTGTTTTGCAACAGTGGCCCATATGTCTTAGCTCCTGGACACTTGCACTAAAAACATAAAGAAGAATAAAACTCAATTCTTGTTAAGTGAGGAAGCCAAAAGGTAATCCCTTTAAGACAGATCATGCAGCAAATGTAAGTAACGGTACAATGTCAAATCCAGGGCTTTTGACTTCCAGTCTCCTCCCCAGTCACAAGCGCTCCCTCTCATAAAAGTCTCTTGATCGGTGATCTGGGGGCACTCTGGTTTTTCCCCCCAATCACTGGTGTCTGCTCCTCTTACAGTCTATCCCCTCTTGCCTTTGTCGAGTGCATAGTTCACCTCTGCTCAGTCCTGCTCTGCATTGCAGGGCTGTGACATCTGACCCTTTGCTGACCTCTCATTCAGGGGACTTTCATCAACTAAGATCTGTCAAATTAGAAAAGAGAGCTTTGCAGAGGAGTCTGCTATAAAGTAAACATTTACTCAAAGATGGTTGAGTGATTGTTTTCAATAAAAGCTTATTCACTCACCTCCTTCACTCACTGCCATGAGCAAGTCACTTAACCTTCTTCACCTGTAATGTGGCAGGTGCAGCTTATCAGTACAAATCAGATAACCCATGTGAAGGGATTTACAAACTCTAAGTACATAAGAAAGAAAGCCCTATATCAACACAAAAATGGAGGTAAATGTTAAGGAAGTTTAGAAAATAAGGTGCTTTGGCTCACACCTATAATCCCAGCACTTTGGGAGGCCGAGGCCAAGAGGATTGCCTGAGTCCACAGATTCGAGACCAGCCTGGGCAACTTGGCAAGACCTCATCTCTACAGTAAATCAAAAAATTAGCCAAGTATGGTGGCACGTGCCTGTAGTTACAGCTACTTAGAAGTTAAGACGGGGCTCGGTGGCTCAGCCTATAATCCCACGCCTTTGGAAGGCTTAGGTGAGTGGATTGCCTGAGCCTGCGGGTTCGAGACCCGCCTGGGCAACTTGACGAGACCTCATCTCTACAATAAATCAAAAATTAGCCGGGCGTGGTAGCGCGTGCCTGTAGTTCCAGCTACTCGGAAGGCTGAGGCGGAGGGATCACCGGAGCCCAGCAGGTTGAGGCTGCGGTGGCCGGGAGCGGCCACTGCACTCCAGTCTGGGCAACAGAGTGAGACTCCAACTCAAAAAAAAAAAAAGAAGAAGTTAAGACGGAAGGATCGCCTGAGCCCAGTAGTTTGAGGCTGCAGTGGCTGTGAGCGTGCCACTATACTCCAGCCCGGGTGACAGAGTGAGACTCCAACTCAAAAAAGGTACATAATACTCTCAAAAATAAAAAATAGCCCACCATCTATAGAGCTGCTTAGTAGAGGAATGTTTTGTCTTTGCAGGACTGAAGGAAAAGTAGTGAACATTTATAACAGACATGTTTCTTAGCAGAGCTGATGACAAGTTTGGCATAAAAAAAGATAGTGTGGTGAAGCTGTTTGAAAGCTGGTATAGGAAAAGTTGAGATGACAGTTACATAGCTTTGGATTGCCCCTCTGTTTTTGCTTCCTTGACCACTCATGGCAGGTTCACAGCCTGAGCACAATAATTAGTCACCACAGTCAGTGAGCCCAGTCAGGTGCAAGGCATTGTGCTAATACTGTGGTGAACAAGATCAGTCATTTCCACTGGGTGTGGTGGCTCATGCCTGTAATCCCAGTACTTTGGGAGGCGGAGGCGAGAGGATTGCCTGAACTCGGGTTGGAGACCAGCTCTAGCAACATGGTGAGACCTCTTCTCTACAATAAATCAAAAAATTAGCTGGGCATGGTGGCACATGCCTGTGATTCCAGTTACTTGGAAGGCTGAGGCAGAAGGATCACCTAGGCCCAGCAGGTCGAGGCTGCGGTGGCTGTGAGCGTGCCACTGCACTACAACCTGGGTGACAGTGAGACTCCAACTCAAAAAAACAAAAATAATCACTCATTTCCTGCCCTGAGAAAGTTTATGTTCTGCTAGAGGAAACAGATGAAATAAACAAAAAGAAGTTCAGACAGTGTACAAACGATGAGAATGACAATAAGGTGACATGAAGCCAAGAGCGGTGGCTCACACCTATAATCCTAGCACTTTGGGAGACCGAGGCAAGAGAATTGCTTGAGCCAAGGAGTTCAAGATCAGCCTAGGCAACACAGTGGATGTCATCTCTATAAAAAATTAAAAAAAAAAAAAACTCTGCCAGGCACAGTGGCTCAAGTCTGTAATCCCAGCACTTTGGGAGGCCAAGGTGAGAGGACTGCCTGAGCCCACGGGTTCGAGACCAGTCTGGTAACATGGCAAGACCTTGTCTCTACAATAAATCAAAAAATTAGCAGTGCATGGTGGCTCACACCTGTAAGTCCCAGCAAGTGCTAGAAGGCTGAGGTGGAAGGATTGCCTGAGCCCAGGAGGTTGAGGCTGCAGTGAACCATAATTGTGCCACTACCCTCCAGCCTGAGCAACAGAGTGAGATTCCAACTTGAAAAGAAAATAGGGTGAAGTGAATTAAAATAGGGTTACTTGATGGAGTGTAACTGGCTATCTGAGTGGTCTGGGGAAACATCCCTGAGGAGGTGCGACATTCATGAAGCCTCAGTGGGAAGGAACATACCCCATGGCAATGATAGAAGCCTAGAGTGTTCCTGGCAAAGGGAACCACCAGTTGCTGAGCAAAGAAGGGCAGCTAATCTAGCTAGAGCTTCCTGGGAAGAGAGAGAGTGGTTGGTAGATGAAATTAGAGAGGTAGGGAGGGGCCATTCAACAGGAGTTTGTAAGGCTAGGGTGAAGAGTGCCCCAAGAAGACAGGCAGGTAAAACATGAGACAGCTGTTTTTCAAGAAGCTTTACAATGAAGGTCAGAGAAATGGAGCCAGGTATCAGGTGGGAAGCGACTGGTATCAAGGGAAGTGTCCTTCCCCATGTGGAATAAGTGGGCTGAGAACCACTGTATCCCTATTAACAGGAAGGAGGGTAGAAATAGGATGGATAGCCAGGCACGGTGGCTCACACCTGTAATCTTGGCACTTTGGGAGGCAGAGGCAAGAGGATTGTCTGAGCCCGGGGCTTTGAGGCCAGCCTGGGGAATTTGGCAAGACCTCATCTCTACAACAAATCAAAAATTAGCTGAGTGATGTATGCATCTGTAGCTTCAGCTACTTGGAAGGCTGAGGCAAAAGGATCACCTAAGATCAGCAGGCTGAGGCTGTGGTGGCCATGAGCGTGCCACTGCACTCCAGCTTGGGTGACAGAGTGAGACTCCAACATGAAAAAAATAAGGATGTGTAGTTAGGAGGGCTTGTGAATATAATGGTGGGAAGGTTGGAAGTCCCTCTCTGGTCATCTTTTCCACAAAGAAGTGTGTGGGCTGGGCATGGTGGCTCACACCTATAATCCGAGTTCTTTGGGAGACCAAGGTGAGAGGATTGCCTGAGTCCACAGGTTTGAGACCAGCCTGGGCAACATGGCAAGACCTCATCTCTACAATAAATCAAGAAAAAATTAGCCAGGCGTGATGGCGCATACCTATAGTTCTAGCTACTTGGAAGGCCGAGGTGGAAGGATCACCTGAGACCAACAGGTTGGGGCTGTGGTGGCCGTGAGTGTGTCACTGCACTCCAGCCTGGGGGACAGTGAGACTCCTACTCAAAAAATAAAGTGTATGACTGGTGAGAGGTGGATCAAGAACAGCCTGGGTTGTGGTGGAAAATCGGAGTAGTTCTGTTCCTACTCCTCAGAAAGTCATGCTGTCTCAGACCCTGGCATGGTGTTGGGAGAGGAGGTATCTTCTCAGGCCTGGATGACCTGGGGTTGGATGCATCTCATGCCAGATCCTCACTTTTCCCCTTTCAGTAGCCAGACCGCCTTCCTGATCGCTGCCATGGAGGAGCCACAGTCGGATCTCAGCATCGAGCCTCTGAGTCAGGAGACATTTTCAGACTTATGGAAACTGTAAGTGGATCTTATGGGAAGGCAGGACCACTGCCTGCCCAGTGCCTAGCTGGCTCATGTCCCCAACCCTGCCCTCTACTCCAATCCCTAGCCCCCTAGCAGAGACCTGTGAAAAGCAAAAAATCAGTGATACAGTACTGACTTTCTACTCTTCTCTTTCAGACTTCCTGAAAATAACGTTCTGGTAAGGACTGGGAGAGGGGGCAGGGACGAGGGGTTGGTGGACTGGTGGGCTGGGGTCATGACTCTATGACTCTTGTTTCGCCCATCTGCAGTCCCCCTCGCTGTCCCCACCAGTGGATGATCTGATATTGTCCACAGAAGACATTGCAAACTGGTTCAGCGAGGGTCCAGATGAAGCGCTCAGAACGGCTCCTGCACCAGTGGCCCCCACACCAGCAGCTTCTACACAGGCGGCCCCTGCTCCAGGCACGCCCTGGCCCCTGTCATCCTCTGTCCCCTCCCAGAAGACCTACCATGGCAACTATGGTTTCCGTCTGGGCTTCTTGCATTCTGGGACAGCCAAGTCTGTCACTTGCACGGTCAGTGGTCCTGGGAAGCTGGCTTCCGTGTGACTTTTCAGGGCGTACCCATATCCCCCTGCGTTTTGCTGTTCAGCTCTTCAAGATTTATCTTCATCTTTCTTTGGCTTCTTGTCAGTCATTTTACCTTTTACCTATTTATTTATTTGTTTGTTTGTTTATTTATTTATTGAGTTGGAGTCTCACTCTGCTGCCCAGACTGGAGTGCAGTGGCCACTCCCGGCCACCGCAGCCTCAACCTGCTGGGCTCCGGCAATCCTTCCGCCTCAACCTTCCAAGTAGCTGGAACTACAGGCGTGTGCTACCACACCCGGCTAATTTTTTTGATTTATTGTAGAGATGAGGTCTCGCCAAGTTGCCCAGGAGGGTCTCGAACCCGCGGGCTCAGGCAATCCACTCACCTCAGCCTCCCAAAGTGCTGGGATTACAGGCTGAGCCACCGAACCCAGCTCCTTTTACCCATTTAATCTGTGGTCTTTGACCTCTGTCCCAAAGTTGAATTGTCCCCCTTGGCCTTGGGGTTTCATCCTTACCATTACACTCTCAGCATCTCTCATGGTGACGTAAACTTATCTTCTTTTTTCCTCACCCATATTCATTCTATGGCTTCTGAGGTATAGACCCCAACCCTGTCATTTCTAGCTGCCCTCCCCACATAGCACATGACTCCTAGAAGGTGCTTAAGCAGCGTTTGTTCCTTTGACCCCTCTTTCATTTGTTTTGTTTGCTCACTTGTACCCTGATCGTGAGTTATTTCTCCTTCCTCTTCCTACAGTACTCCCCTGCCCTCAACAAGATGTTTTGCCAGCTGGCAAAGACCTGCCCCGTGCAGCTGTGGGTTGACTCCACACCCCCGCCTGGCACCCGCGTCCGCGCCATGGCCATCTACAAGCAGTCACAATACATGACAGAGGTGGTAAGGCGCTGCCCCCACCATGAGCGTTGCTCAGATAGCGATGGTGAGTGGTCGGGACTGGAGAGTGGACCGAGCTGGCTGCCCAGGGTCCCCAAACCTCTGATTGTTCTACACTTGCTCTTAGGTCTAGCCCCTCCTCAGCATCTTATCCGGGTGGAAGGAAATTTGCGTGTGGAGTATTTGGATGACAAAACCACTTTTCGACACAGCGTGGTTGTGCCTTATGAGCCGCCTGAGGTCTGATTTGTCAACTGAGGTTTCTGGGAGGAGGGGGCAAGGGCAATTGTCAGTGGCCATCCAGGCGGGAAGTATGGGGGGGCTTTCTCCTGTTTCTCATTCGACTTACCCTCAACTCTGCGAGGTGTGCAGAGCAAATGGGTTATCCCCTTGCACAGCTGAAGAAACCGAAGCTTACAGAGCTAAAGACCTGCCCAGGTTGCTGCAGGTCTCCCCAGAACTCACTGGCCTCAACTTGGGCCTATGTTGTCTCCCAGGTCGGCTCTGACTGCACCACCATCCACTACAACTACATGTGTAACAGTTCTTGTATGGGTGGCATGAACCGGCGGCCCATCCTCACCATCATCACACTGGAAGACTCCAGGTGGGGAGCCATTCACACTGGCATGCCCCTTCCCAGCCTCTGCCTGTCTCTGCCCCTGGGCCCACCTCTTTACCACTTTCTCCCTTACTAGCATTCATCCTTCCCTCACATCCTATCCCCATACAGGAAATCTCCTCTACTGTGCCCTCTTAGTTGTTTTGTTTCATTTTGTTTTTCCCTTCTGGCTTTGGGACCTCTCTTACCTGTGACTTTTCTGTATACCTGGAGCTTAGGCTCCAAATAGGACAAGGGCAGTTGGGAGTAGGTGGGGCCTGGTTTTTAAAACAGGCCAGGTACTATCCCATTTCCTCATGCCTCCTGCTTCTCCCTTCTTATCCTGGGTAGTGGTAACCTGCTGGGGCGGAACAGCTTTGAGGTGCGTGTTTGTGCCTGTCCTGGGAGAGACCGGCGCACAGAGGAAGAAAATTTCCGCAAGAAAGGGGAGCCTTGCTCTGAGCTGCCTCCTGGGAGCACTAAGCGAGGTAAGCAGGCAGGACAAGAGGAAGTAGAGAAGGCAGACGTTGCAGTTTTGCTCCAGATTCACCCTTTTCTCACCTTTCCTTGCCTCTTTCTCAGCACTGCCCACCAGCACCAGCTCCCCTTCTCAGCCAAAGAAGAAACCACTGGATGGAGAATATTTCACCCTTCAGGTACAAACAAGTCTGGGAGAGACATAAACATACTCCCTTGCATATCCTAAGTGAGATTGAATTGAATAAGGGAAGAAAATATATACATGTAAGGAATATAAGGTTAGGCCAAGTTTTTGTTTTGCTTTTGTTTGTTTTTAGGAGTCTCACTCTGTCGCCCAGGCTGGAGTGCAGTGGTACACTCATGGCCACCTCAACCTTGACCTCCTGGGCTCAGGTGATCTTTCCACTTCAGTCTTCCAAGTAGCTGGAACTATAAGCATGCAACACCACGCCAGGCTAAATTTATGATTTATTGTAGAGATGAGGTCTCGCCATGTTGCTCAGGCTGGACTCGAACCCCTGAGTTCAGGCAGTCCTCTCGCCTCCACCTCCCAAAGTGCTGGGATTGGAGGTGTGAGCCACCACACCTGGCTTTCTTGTAAAGTTAATATTATCAGGTTGAAAGTTTTAAGCCTAGCACTCAAAATACTGTTTTCTTCTTGACTACTTTGCCTGCAATTAGGGCATTTTCCATCAGGGGGCAATGGTGCCTCAGAAATAACAACTCTTGGTTTACGTAACTAACTTCAGAACACCAACTTGTTTTGTTTGTTTGTCGTAGTCTCACTCTGTCATCCAGGCTGGAGTGCTGTGGCACACTTATAGCCACCACTGCCTCAACCTACTGTGCAAGTAATCCTTCCACCCCAGCCTTCCAAGTAGCTGGAACCACAGGCATGCACCACCATGCCCAGCTAATTGTTTGATTTTTTTGTAGAGATGAGGTCTCACCATGTTGCTTAGGCTAATCTCAAACCTCTGAGTTCAGGCAATTCTTTTGTCTCTTGTCTCCCAAAGTGCTGGGATTACAGGCATGAGCCCCCACACCCAGCCAGAACACCAACTTGTAAAGGAATACCTTTCAAAAATAAATTTGGAGCCAGGCTCAGAGGCCCAGCCTGTAATCCCGCGCCTTTGGGAGGGTGAGGTGAGTGGATTGCCTGAGCCCGCGGGTTCGAGACCTGCATGGGCAACTTGGTGAGACCTCATCTCTACAATAAATCAAAAAATCAGCCAGGCGTGGTAGCACATGCCTGTAATTCCGGCTACTCTGAAGGCTGAGGTGGCAGGATCGCCAGAACCCAGCAGGTTGAGGCTGTGGTGGCCGGGAGCAGTCACTGCACTCCAGTCTGGGCGACAGAGTGAGACTCCAACTCAAAAAAACAAAAACAAAACAAAAATAAATTTGGTAAAAGAGAGCATGAAAATGATTCCTTGACTTTGCCCAATACAGATGCTCCTTGACTTACGATGGCGTTACTTCGTGATAAACTCATTGTAAGTTGAAAATGTCATAAAATTGAAAATGCATTTAATACACCTAACCTATCAAACATTATAGCTTAGCCTAGCCTACCTTAAACATTGCTCAGACACTTACATTAGCCTACAGTTGGACAAAATCATCTAACACAAAGCCTATTTTATATTAAAGTGTTGAATAGCTCATGTAATTTATTGAATACTGTACTAAAAATGAAAAACAAAATAGTTGTATGAGTTCTTGAGGTATGGTTTCTACTGAATGTGTATTGCTTTTGTACCATCTTTTTTTTTTTTTTTGAGTTAGGAGTCTCACTCTGTCTCCCAGGCAGAAGTGCAGTGACACACTCACAGCCACCACAGCCTCAACCTACTGGGCTCAGGCAATCCTTCAGCCTCAGCCTTCCAAATAGCTGGAACCACAGGCACATGCCACATGCCCAGTTGAATTTTTGATTTATTGTAGAGACAAAGTCTCGCCAAGTTGCTCAGGCTGGTCTCAAGCCCCTGAGCTCAGGCGATCCTCTCGCCTCCACCTCCCAAAGTGCTGAGATTACAGGCTTGAGCCACCATGCCTGGCTACTTTTGTACCGTCTCAAAGTGAAAAAATTGTGGCCAGGACGCAGTGGCTTATGCCTATAATCCCAGCACTTTCGGAGACCAAGGTGAGAGGATTGCCTGAGCCCAGAGGTTCGAGACCAACCTGAGCAACTTGGCGAGACCTCATCTTTACAATAAACTAAAAAATTAGCCAGGTGTGGTCGCGCATGCTTATAGTTCCAGCTACTTGGAAGGCTGAGGCGGGAAGATTGCCTGAGCCCAGGAGGTCGAAGCTGAGGTGGCCATGAGCATGCCATTGCACTCCAACCTGGGTGAGAGTGAGACTCCAACTCAAAAAAAAAGTGAAAAAATTGTAAGTTGAACCATCGTAAGTTGGGGACTGTCTGTTTCTTTCTCCTTCACCCCTGCTGCAGATCCGTGGGCGTGAACGGTTCGAGATGTTCCGAGAGCTGAATGAGGCCTTGGAACTCAAGGATGCCCAGGCTGGGAAGGAGCCAGGGGGGAGCAGGGCTCATACCAGGTGAGTGACCTAGGCCCCTTCCCAGCCCTACTCCCCTGCCTTCCTATGTTGGAAAGGTGTGGGATTCCATTCTAATCCTGCCTTCATGGTAGAAGGCAGCTGATCTCATCCCATTGGGTTCTAGCCCTACACAAACATTTTTTTTAGTCTTGCTCCTGTTGTGTCATACAACCACATTCCTGCTTCAAGGGATCCACAGATCCATCAAACTCAAGGATGACTGTGGATACTTCTTTGCCATTCTCAGCAACTCTTAGCTCAGAGCTAGGGCGTCTCAAGGAGGGACCTAATAATTGCGTGGAAGTACTGTGCAGAGCTGGGGTTTGGGGTCAGATACTCAGTCCTGCCAAATACTAGTAGGTCCTGTGTGACCTTATTATTACCCCTCTCAGACTCAGACTCAGTTACTTTAGAAAATGGGGTAAGGGATGATTAAGAGATTGATACACATGAATATCTCAAGGTGCTCAGTAAACATATCTGCATATGGTGGCAACTATCTTAACTTAAAATCCTGTGTTGTAGCTTTAGGCCCTTCACAGCCTTGATCAAGACAAAGGGCCCATAGACTATCACTCATGTGATATCATCTCTTCTCCTCCCCTTTCCTGTCTCCTACAGCCACCTGAAGTCCAAGAAGGGACAGTCTACTTCCCGTCATAAAAAACTAATGTTCAAGAGAGAGGGGCCTGACTCAGACTGATGTCCTCTGCTTCTCATCCCCCGTTGGCATCCCCCCTCCCTATACCCCCTTCCCTGACCTTTTGAGACTCAGGAGTTTGAACCCCCACCTTGTTATAGGTGTGCCTCAGAAACACCCAGGAATTCTTCCATTTGCCTTGGCCTGGAACTTCACTAAAGAAGTTGGTCTGCACTGGTGTTTTTTGGGGGGAGAGCTTAGCTTTTTTTTCTTTTCCTGAATTGGAGTCTCACTCTGTCACCCAGGCTGGAGTGCAGTAGCATGCTCACGGCCACCGCAGCTTCGACCTGCTAGGCTCAGAAGATCCTTCTGCCTCAGCCTTCCAAGTAGCTGGAACCACAGAGGTGTGCCATCACATCTGGCTAATTTTTGTGTGTGATTTATTGTAGAGATGAGGTCTCACCAAGTTGTCCAGGCTGATCTCAAACCCCTGGGCTCAGGCAATTCTCTCACTTTTATACCACCTTTTTTTTTCCCTCCCTCTGCCTCCCAAAGTGCTAGAATTACAGGCGTGACCCACTGCGCCCAGCTACTTAACTTTTAAGGTTTTTACTTTGAGGAATGTTTGGGAGAGGTAAGAAAATAGACATGCATGTAAGGATTAGATTTTATAATCAGCCATACACTGGGTTGGAAGCCCAGTTCACCACTGCACTGAAGCTGTCTCACAGTATTTAGTTCTAACTTCAATGTCCATGTCTCTGAAATGCTGTAATTATACCTACCTCACGGAGTTTGTTGTGAGGGTTAATGAAATCATGTATATCTGACCTTGAAACCACATTTTATTACATGGGGTCTGGGACTTGACCCTCTCGCAGGTGCTTGCTCCCTGTCCCTGTTGGTAGATGGGTAGGGAGTTTCCACGTCTGCTGGCCCAGACAAAACCTTCCCAACCTTTTGGTGAGCCTTGGCACCTAAAAGGAAATCTCATCCTATCCCATACCCTGGAGAAATTCATCTCTTTTTTTTTTTTTTTTTTTGAGTGGGATTCTCACTATGTCGCCCAGACTGGAGTGCAGTGGCTGCTCCTGGCCACCGCAGCCTCGACCTGCTGGACTCCGGCGATCCTTCCGCCTCAGCCTTCCGAGTAGCCGGACTTACAGGCATGCACTACCACGCCTGGCTGATTTTTGATTTACTGTAGAGATGAGGTCTCGCCAAGTTGCCCAGGCGGGTCTCGAACCTGCGGGCTCAGGCAATCCACTCACCTCAGCCTCTCAAAGGCGCGGAATTACAGGCTGAGCCACCAAGCCCGGCTACTCCATCTCTTATATAGAATCTGGATCAACCGAGATCTGTTTTGCTTCCCCCAAATGCTCAGGGTCAACTTCTTTTACACTCTGTAAGGCACATCTACATTTGTCACCCCCCCACCCACCCCTTCTCCTCTTCCCTTTTTATATCCCATTTTTATATCGGTTTCTTATTTTACAATAAAACTTTGCTACCACCTGTGTGTCTGAGGGGTAGATGCCAGTACAGGCCGCCAGGGCCCACAGGTTCAGGGGTGAGTGAGGAGGTGAAGTTGAGAGACAGCCACCTGAGTCCCCAGGGATTGTGGGCTGGGGGGCCCAATGCCCGAGTTCTGGGAGGGGAACAAAGGCTGGAGACTGGGTCAGTCTGCAGGCTGCATGACAACAAGGGAGGGGGGTGACTCCATTCATAACTTGGGAACCAACTGTCCCTCCTCCCCTCCTGCCAAGGCTGGCACAAGGTTCTCTCCCTCCCCTGCTTCTAGGGTTGGGCTGCTGCCCCCTCAGCAGCCTCTCACCAAGGATTATGGGATTTAAATGTCTGATTTAGCAAGCCTGAGCCTCCAGGGTGGCCATCTGCTCAGCGGGAAAGTGGCAGGATACCTGGGTTCCCAAGGAGAAAGGGGTGGGTGCTACTGGATGGAGAGAGACCAGTGGTTGGCCTGCCTGCTGGGGTCCCAAGAAAGTGGGGGCAGCTAAGGTAAGGGTTGGGGTGGGGTTGGGGCCTTCCCAGCATCCCCTTATCCTGGGCCTCATGCCAGGCGGCTGAATGAATTGAATCTTTAAACTCTGCCAGGAAAACCTTTCAAAGGGCTTCTTGGGATAGGGAGGAGAGTCGGGTTGGGGAGCTCAGCACCCCCTGCCCATCCTGCCCCTCAGTGCTGCTGGCTCCCAGGGAGGGGGGCTGGGGACAGCCTCTCCCCAATCACCCACTGCTGCCTGAGCCCGTGCTTGGAGAAATGATCAGACAGGTGGCACATGGCTTGTCCTCTGCCTCCTTTCTGCTGGTGGGGAAAGGTGCCAAGGTTCAGAGGGGCTCTTGGAACCACTGTCCTCTCAGACTATCAATCAGGCATAAAGTGCCAGTGGAAGCCCCTTGACTTGCCCCATGGATCCCAGACAGCTGTGAAGCCACCAGCCTTCCTGCCCTCAAGACTACCTTTTTTCTTTCTTACTAGGGAATGCCAAATGCTCTCGGGAGGCCTAGAGCTACCTCTTCCAGAGAACTTTAACTTAAACATCTATTCCTACACACCGGGCAAACCAGAGCTCTGGAAACTGTCCTCCTCTTTGCTTTCATAGACAGGTTCCCTTGATAAGCTCCCTTTTTTTTTTTTTAAGGCCATATTGGTATATGACCCAAAAAATTACATATATTCAAGGCATACAATGTAATGATCTGAAAGGATACCGCAAACAAATTAATCAATATGTCCATCGTAGTTACCATTTGTGTATGTGTGTATGTCTGTATATGTGTATATGTATGTGCACGCTGGTGAGGACACTTAGATTTACTGTTTGCAAACAGAAAATTTCCTTTTTTTTTTTTTTTTTTTTTTTTGGTCAAACTCTCCGTGGGTCACCCAAACAGGAGTGCAGTTGCATGATCATGGCTCAGGTTCACCCTGACCTCAGCTCTGGGGATCCTTCCCCCTCATGCTCCTGACATACTGGGACTAACTGTCAGAAATACATTGCTCGAAAATTTTGAAAGATATTGACTCTAAAACCGTCATAGCTGGGGACTTTAATACCCCACTCCCAACCCTAGACAGATTATCAGAACAAAAAATCAGCAATGAGATCTGGAACCTCAATGTAACTCTTGACCAAATGGACTTAATTGATACCTGCAGAAGACTCCATCCAAAGAGCACAGAATACAAATTCTACTCATCACCATGTGGAACGTATTCTAAGATTGACCACATACCTGGCCATAAAACAAGCATAAGCAAATTTAAAAAGTCCGAAATTTTACCATGCACTTCTCAGACCACAGTGGAATAAAAATAACATTAACACCAACAAGGTCCCCCAAAA